CAGTTGAGTAACAATTTGATCTTGCCTGTAGACTGGCATGCCTCATGTAAAAACTATTATTTGATAATAAATTATTATTATTATTCGAAACAACTAATAGTCTGGCCGATGTTAGTGGCCAAACCGAAGGGAAGACATACGGAACTGTGTCGGAGTTTGTAGGACCAACAGAGCATTTGCACTCATAATAATTAAATATGAAGTCAGGTCACATGAGAAAAACAGTAAGGATTGACATTATTAGCCAATCACAGGAAACTAACAGGGATAATAGGTATATTTGGGTTGTGGTTAAGCACTTTACAAAGTGTCGTGAGGCAATTCTCTTAGAAAATACGAATGCTCAAACTGAAGCTAAAGTAGTGTTTAAAAATTTCATCGCTCGTTGAAGTGCCACGACCCAGCCACATTCGGACAGATTTCACCAAATTTGAAAGCATACTTTTTAATAATCATGTCAAGTGTTGAGAATTAGCAAAACGTGAACAACTACCCACTATCCAGAAAAACAGCATTTTCGAACAAACCAATCGAACCCTAAAAACTGGAATCATGCTGGATGCTGGATTGTGGGACTTTGCCATAAATAGATGGTCACTTGGATATCGCTTTAGCGTTCAAATGTCTAAAGGAAATATACCTCATTTACAGTGGACAGGGAAGAACATGAGAATTTCAGCTGAGATGATGACGCCAACAATGTGCCAAGAACCTTTATGTGTATAATATATGGTCGTGAAGCTCCGAGACGATATGTCAAGATATCATAATATAGCTCGAGTACGGTTGAGTGTGACAAGGAAATATAAAAAATTCATTGCTATAAGAAAACTCACGGCGTATTCATGTATCCAGAAGAAAACGTATGGTTAAAAATGGGAAATCAGTCATTTGGGACAGTTAATATGCTACACAAAGAATGGTCGGTTCCGTTTGAAATCACCAGCGTTTTGACAGAATCAACGTGTTAATCAAAGTATATCATAGACGATTCTTGAATACATATGATCGTTCACTATAATTGCCTAAAACCGGGACATAAATAACTGATGCATGAATCACCAAAATTTATATCTACTTTACTTTGTTACAGATGATTTACGTTTATGTTCTGTTTAATTTGTTTCCAGTCCAAAAGTGAAAGAGGAAAATTAACTTGCATCCTTTTGTTGTTTTATGTTGAGCAGCTGAAGTTATTTGTGGGCTGATTAAGCTGAGAATTTATATACATCTCATCAAGGCATTTATTGTGACGTCAATTCCAGCGAACCGATCGAGTTGCTCAGTAAATGTGCTTTTTCTCGAAATTTGGATTAGATTATTGGTTTATATGTTTTGGTTTGGAATTAGAGTTGTGATTTTTACAGCATACAATACCTTGAGACTGTGCTTCTGTAAGGCCACTATATTATTCACCTTATCAGAATCCAGAGTATCCACTTGGTGGATATAATGGCATCACGACTTGGCTCTGAAGTTTATGATTCACCAAGTCAGCACTCAGATTCATCTATAAAATTAGTGATGGTAAAACTCTCGTCAATGTAGTTATCATAAGACGGATGAAATGTCTGAAAGTATTGTTCTGCTAGAGGGTCGGTGGCTTCGCCTTCATTGTTAGTTGGTCTTTAGGACTTAGCAATTCAGAAACTCGGGTTTCAGCCTGTCGAAGAGAGGCTGCATGTCAAAATAGACTTTTAAGACCGAAGACAATATTATCGATTAGTTTCATTCGATATTGAAACCTGTCTTCTATTATCGTCTATGTGTATTGGTTCCTTGTTTGTTTGGAGTGCTTATATGTACTATTACTAGTTCGTCTATACTCTTCCCAGTAGTGCCTTCTGAGTCTTATCATTCAAAGAGTGTGATTCTTGACGACTGTACATTGCTTGTAATTTTGGGGGACCACTTGTTGGAAAGACTGGCTCGTAGAATGTAAGATCATGTGCAGTCCACAAAAAGTTGAGGGTTGGGGGATTCCCAGCCCACCTGCTGTAGACTGTCTTTTAAGGCTAACACATCCAAACGTTCGAAATTCCAAAACCTGTTGATGATGTTTAGCTCAGTTTTACTGGTAAAACTGAAGTCTATGACGGTGTGATCACTTTTACCTAGGGGAGGCAAGACTAGGAAGTTGTCAATTAGGAATTCTTTGTTTGTAACTACACAGTCTAAATGCGATGGCGTCTGACTGTTTCTCCAGCGAGTTGTTAGCTCCACATTTTTAAACACTACTATATTTTGAATGTAGTTGAAGAACTGAGCTTCAGCAAAGTTGTCCCCTTCAATGTACGTAAGTTCGGAGAAGTTGAGGTTAGGAAGATTAAAATCTCCTAGAATCAGGATATTAGTGTATCTGAGACGAAAGTAGCAGGATAATCCTTCCAGAATATTTGGTGTCAGAAGTGCGACTCCTGAAGATGACTCCAACCAGACACCTAGAGGTGTTAAGATCTTCTTACTGAGTACCACACAGATTCATTGAGGTTGATGAGCTTCTGAGTGTCCACTTGATGTGCTAACAATCAATATTGTAGGTACAGGGCTACTCTGCCCACATTCCTGTTTTTAAGTCGTCGCTAAACGAAGACTTACCAGGTATTGCCCAGTTCCTGGTCCGTAATTTGAGAAGATATCCATACTTCAAATATTCCTATCAGATGAGTATTATTTGCATTACTAAGTTCATGCAACTCACCCATTTTATTCGGTAAACTCGCGGTGTTCATATGTAAGCAAATTTTTTCCATTTGAAACACGTGAGCTTCCTCGCCCTGATTATCTGTACCAGCCTTATGCGAATGAACAGTTAACCGGTCCAAACACAGGGTTTTCTGAGTTGGCAGCCCCTGTCCTTCCTACATTTTTACATGGTCTTGACAGTTCACAAGTGGGATAGTCGGCTCCAATTTGTATTTATTCTTGACCATCCTTCTACGTGGCCTGTCTGGATGGATGTAGGTAACACATTTCTGCAATCACATCAGCAATGAATAGCGAACGGCTGTGTTTGTCGGCCACGTTTACCATTCGCGAGAGACGGTGGTGAAGTTTCCCGAAGAGTTTTTCGTGTCAGACGGTTTGGATATTGGGAATCCACAAGGTTTTCTGCGATTTCTAGAAGACTTACAGTGAGCGTTGTGGTACAAGCACTAAACTGGATTGTCTGCCTTTCGTGGTCTAGAGACAGATCCTCCTCGTGAAGTGCTTCGTCGAGGAGTTTCAGAGCATCTACGGTTATGATGGTTATTATGATAAAGAGTCAGCGTATGACAGTGGTCTACAGCATCATTCTCTGTTTGAGGCTTTCGGCTGACAGAGTAGACCTTGGCACTAGTTCTGGTGGTTCCCGGAATCCGGTGGCAGATACAGCCAGTCCGCCCACATCGTTGTTTTGAAATGAGACAAGCACTGTCTGAACCTGTTAGGGAATATCTGACAAAAAGAGCTGTCTAAAAAGGCCATCGTCAAAAGTCCGTTTGCCAATGATCTTTCCCATTAGTAGTTAGTTACCTTTCTGTTGCTGAGCCATGATTTAGTTCGATGTTGTCGAAGAATTGTTCTAACCTTTGTCCATCGGTTAGATCTCTACGCCTAAGAATAGCGTTTTTAAGTTTTGTAAGGTTTTCAAAACATCACTAGCAAGCGTACTAAGTGAAAGTCAACTTCTGCATAGTAGAACCAGGTCTACATGTTGCCATGTCAAAGTAATATTAGCTGAAACGTAGGAAGCGAAAGAGTTTCAGTCTTAAATAGCTGAGGTGTCTGTTCTATCTTGACGAATAAAAAGTATTCCGATGAAGGAGCAAAAAGTGTCCGAACATCTGAAAGCAATATCACAATACATAAAAACCAAAATTAAAAAAAACGATATATGATGTTCTAACAATAAAGAGACTCACCGTTTGCTGTTTGGTGTAACAGACCACGTCGTCCTTACTACTTAAAATGTCGGAATTTGACAACGCCTTCACAGGTAACACATTTATAATCAAAGTATGTCAACCCAGTCAAGTCAGAAGTCAGAAACAAAGTGGTTTGAAGACATATTTGGGAGACCTTTGATATATCAGGAAGCCTTTTATCTGAACCGAAAAACGGTTACAAGGGATGCATAGCACAGTGTACCCACTCGTGATCTGGGGCGGATACGTGACCGAGTGCCTTCAGCTAGGTGTGTCTGGTAAACTTAGTGAGGTCAGAGTCAATGTCGAGAACTTGAAGAACTATTTACTTTGGGGATCTATTTGCTGCTACTTGCTCAAAGAGAAAATGAAGTGGTAATTAGGCTAAGAAGCAAATCGATCACAGATCATTTACAGATAGTTCAGTACAGGTTGATTAGTTGTAATATTATCGGTATGTTTCATACTGCCCATAGTTCTATCCACCCCAATGACCACTGATACGTTTGAGTAATAAGTTACACTTAAGAGGAAATCCATTAAAGACAGAACATCGAAAGTAGTCGTACAAAAATCTGTACGGATGTTTTTGAGGTGCTAATAAGCAAGTTATGAAACTCTATACCGAGACCTATAGTGAAGGGACTTTTGGCTGAATACTTAAAAAGAATGCTCGATGATTATTTTTGTTCCGTGATTAGCAAGAGAGAATAACGCAAGTGTTACATGTTTTCTATTTTTGTTCTCGACTCTATTTAATGGCCTTCAGATTCCAGAAAGCATATATTGCAAATCATACATCGTACGACAAGAACGCACTCCAAATACCAAGTCGTAGAACCCAGAGGTATAAATAGTCCAGTACTTCTGAGAAGCCGTGATCAACCTACTGTCACTGTTTCTATGTAATCGGACTCAATCAAAACTCTTTAGTTTTGTTTTATTAGGCTAATCTTGGGGTTCACGATCGCGCGCATTCCAATGTTATCGTGACCGTAAGTACTACTATGTTTTATGGATCGTAGAAAACTCACCTTCCAGAATAGTTAGTTTTATCAGGATGAACTAAGTTTTTATCACAAGCGACCAGAAATGGATATGTTTAGAGGAAAATGCATGCAGCTAGACAACTTGGACTATGCAGGGAGAGACTATAATATATGGACGAACCCATCAGGTATAATAAAATAGGTTTTGAATTTCGGCTCGTAATTCACTCACCCACTTGGATAAATAGAGTTTTGGCAATATAGCTGATGTCAGTTTGTGGTGAAAACCCTAAGTATAATTCCTAACCTGAACCATGAAATAATTCGAACTCCTCACACATTCTTATAACACTCATGTAATCCTAGTTATGTGGACACTCTCCAGACCAATCTACCGTCGCTCAAAGGTCGTCCAAAAATTATAGCTTTACCGCCTGCAGATTCAGATTTGTGTAGTAAGGACGGTCTGGTCTAGTCGTCTCTTGGATAAGCCATTGGAGGGTGAGGACACCATTACTTCGGGTAACAGGTCCAAAGGATTAAAGACTCGGTATGGAGACCTATATGCCACGGGTATTTTATTCTCTCTGTATTGTAGAGATGTCCCGATCTAGTGGTCAATAGAATGGAACTTGTCACTATTCATCAACTTCATTGACTATGAGAAGGCGTTTGACAGCGTGGATCGAAGAACCTTATGGAACCTCTCTCGACACTGTGGTGTAGCTGAGAAGATTGTCAACATCATCCGGAATTCATATGACGGACTACACTTCAAAGTTGTGGATGGAGGAAAGCTGGAAGATGCGTTCCAAATGATGACCTGAGTCATACAAGGCTGCTCACTCTCCCCATTCCTCTTTCTTTCGGTCGTTGACTGGATTATGAAGACCTCTGCATCTGAGGGGAAGCACGGAATTCAGTGGACCTGAAATACTACAATACAGAGAACATTTACCCAAACACACTTGATAGGGAGGCTCTGGAAGATGTGGAAGATTTCACTCGTCCGTGCATCATTATCGATTAAGAAGAGGGATCTGATGCAGACATAAAGGCAAGAATTGAAAAAGCAAGGGTAGTATTGCTACATTTGAAGGACATATAATGCTCAAAACAACTGTCAAACAATAACAAAGTCAGAATTCCCAATACTAGCGTCTATACCTTTCTATTATACGGAGTTGAGAGTTGGAGAACTACAACCGCCATCAAGTGTACACATTGTCATAAGCAATTTTCTATGCCAGATACTCAATGTTATTTGTCCGTATACCGTCAGCAATAGCTTATTCTGGAAGATTAACCAGCCTACAACTCAGTCATCTGCAACGTAGGGCCAGGCACATATACGCATTGGTCCAAGTTGTCACACCTCATTAGCACAACAAAATGAACACCGAATTCCATCTGATGAAATCACGAAAGGACACTTGAGGTGGATGGAACATTCATTCAGGAAACTATTAAACTGCATCACGTGGCAAGTGTCAACTTGGAATCCTGAAGGGTGACGGAAAAAAGGAAGGCTAAAGAACACTGCATCAAGAATCGGAGGCAGACATGAAAAGGATAAATAACTGGAACCACCTGGAAAGGATTACTCAGGACAGAGTTGGATGGAGAATGCTGATGGGCGGCCTATGTTCCTCCACGAGTGGTAACAGGTATAAGTAAGGTTACTTATGGAGTAGGTGTATATTCATCTGTCAACCGAAGGACGAGTTGACTGTTCAGTAGTTTTCATTGTTCTACTTCAGGAGCGCGAAACACGGGCATTAGGAGTACAAGATATTCATAGACTATCTCTGTGATTATAGGTTGGCTACCTCGTTGGGATCTGCGTGTTTATCGTTACTAGTGGTTAAGGACTGAATAATGTGACAATTTCACAAGTCAATCCACCATTTGACTTCTGGTTTCCAAGTTTCTAAATTCCTCAAAATACCTCCATATTGCGTCTTCTTGGCTCGTATCTTTGATGCATAATGTTTCCTATTGTCATTATACTTTTACTACCTCCACTATTCTAGAATTCGTCCTAATATTTTTATCTTGCCGTGCTAACGAGGAGTGGCAACTTCAATCTACGTACACGTACATGTTCCAGCTTGCACATTGCGTGTGTCTATACAGCGTTGGAAAACATGCGTCGTAATTTGCTTTTGGGTTTGTAACACACCCACAGTTTATTTCATTTGTATGATTTAACTCGTCTAATGATTGCAAAACTTTTCCAGAGATCTATATTCTTCCAAAATCACCCATGCTATTAACAGTGCTTACTCTAGTACTTTTACATCCTAACTACGGTTTTCTTTCAGGTTCGGACTTATCAAGCTATGTTTGAAGTATATATATGAAATTTTTAAAATAGGTATAGTACCTAGTGCTAGCTAGTTCGATCTTGAGGGCTTTACCGGCAGTGCTGATAAAAACCCGTAACTTCATATGTTCTGTAATCAGTTAAGTTTCATTTTAATTATTTTGATACGCAACAGAGTATATTCACTTTAAAAACATACCTCTCACCGTTACAGGTGAACTCAGAAGTGACTATCGTAGAATGGGGGATCTTAACCTTCTAAAACCATATGCCGTTTTTGAACAACTATTTGAGCATAAGATCAGAATAGAAGACAGGGATTGTCTCGAGTTTGCTGATATAAACGTCGCTGCTGGTGTCTTAACTTCCTGTCATGGTTCAGCTCTAGTAAAAGTCGGGAAAACTCATGTGATTGCAGGCGTAAAGGTACATTGTGGGTTTCTAATCTCACGATTATAGGTCAAAGTAATTCCAGAAAGCGGAAACTCAGGCAGCGTAACCTGCAATGTGGAGTTTGCTGGTCTCTGCCATAGAGGTTCGCGTTTAAATACTCCACAACCTAAGTGTGCACAGTGGCTATCTTCTACAATTCAAAGACTCCTGAATAATTTTGCGTTCCCATCTATTGAAAGCCAGCTAAACATATTCTCAATAAATGACCCAAATACACTTACACCAGTAGCTTCCTACACTTTGAAGCTCGATGTCTTCATCCTTCATGACGATGGGTGCTTACTAGATGCTTGTGTCCCCGCTGCACTTGTTAGTCTTTGTACAACAAAATGGACAAAGTTATATGCGGTTACGGATGAACAAGCTGCGGGATCCTACTTAGAATTATATAAACCAGGACCATTAAATGAGACAATATCCTTAAAAGTGAATGAATGGCCTGTTTCGCTGTCTTTCTGCTTCGTTCCTCGCCCGGTTGCTGATAGAAAGTCAAAGACAGTCCCTATTATTGCCCAACCAACGAAACGAGAGTTAGATATTTGGGATACGGATGCTGGCCCAGTACACATAACTGTTTCTCAGGGTGCTATCGTCGATCTTTCTGTGATCAATGCATTTTTAACGGGTTTGTGGGACAATTTATTTGTGGCGAGTACAAATGAAAGTGATGTAGTCAACGCGTGGAATGTTTTGTTTGATTCTGCTGTTTCTCACGCTCAGAAAGTTCTACAGACCATGCAAAAGGCAGTAAACTAGTTTGTGTGGTTCACGACAATTGTAAGTAAAGTGTTCACACTTTTGATTCTTTGTAAGATTGTTTTGTTTAATTGATTAATTGAATTTCTACGTAGATTTTAGATTTGATGGTATATTCTTCATAAATCTTAATTTTTACTCTACAAAGTTTCACATTTCAAACATAAGACTTTAAAATTCAATAATTTTAAAAAGATTCAAGAAAGTTTTCTTGGTCAGTGAGACCGTTTACCTGGTTCTAGATATCCAGAACGAGATAAAATATCAGATATTTGCCCCTCGTATACTCAGAAGGGGTATAAATTGTTGACATTAGGTGTAACTTAAGTTATTCAAGCCGGGATTAGCATTTTTTAATTCTTAATTTATCTCAACTTCTTTTGCGCTACCGACATTTTCAATTCCTTAAATTTGTTTGAACATCCTACGTCAAAAATGTAATTGTATATGAACGCAGTTCTTGTCTTCAAATTGTTCACGATTCCTCATATTAAGTGTACCGATGTCAAGCTAGGGGACATTTTATCTGTGTAGTGCTTTTTAGACTTTTGATTCTGTCGTGTAAATATTTAAATTTTCGCCATCAAGTTGCGTTGTTGATTACCGTTGCTGCACCAGACACGATTTAGTCGATCAGAGAATATCATGTAATTTGTGGCTTTTTGGATAAACACTCAAGGTTATCAAGAATTAATACGTGAAAGTATTTCACTAAGTTCTCTCTGCGATTGTAGTAATTGAATCAATAGTGAGTTCTACTTATACGTAGTAACTGGCATTTTAAAGACCGATATCCCATTCTTGTTGCCTCAGTTATGGAGGAAGTTCTTGATGATCTAGTGGAGCGAAATTTTTGACTGTTGATATCAATAAATAGGATGCTAATCGGGAAACAAACACAGTGATATGATGTAGTTGAGTAGTGGCTACTTACGAGACCGTACTATTGACTTACACCCTTGAATGCTCATAAATCAACGGCAAGACCACTAGCCAGAATAATGCTTTTTTCCCTGTGATGAAATGACTTGCTTGTATGCGTTTAGTAGTCGAATATTACAAGTGGCTAGAGTTCACTCATTACTGACTGTTAAGCCTAATTTTTGGTTATCGTATCGCATATATGGTTGTCGTGTCATGCCAGTCATATTTAACTTCAGTCATTAAATGCGATATTTTTTGACATGAATTTCCTTTGCCCTAACTAATAACAGTTTTACCACTGTCAGTACCTACTATAATGATGGTCTATTGAATATGTTTGTTTGTCATCTTTCCGGTCGTTGTGTTACTTCGATGGGAATCAAAAAGGAATTTAATGGTGATTAACTTACGATATAGAAAACACTTTATTTCTCCATTGGTTACTTGGCACCATAGATTAGTAAATTTTCACCTCTAGCTATGGTTTGGGATGTCTCGAAAGTAGCAGAAATTGTTGTATGTTAACACCGCGATCCGTAATGTTAGGACGTTTATCTATAGCTTATTATAAACCTTGTGGAACCAACCATCTTCCAAAAAGCTGTAAGGTACTTATTAGTATAATCTGTAAGTCTATTTACAAAGCATTTCAACGCCAAATTATCTCTAGCCGTAGACGAGAGTTTTATTTTATTTTATTTAAACACATAAATATTGGTACAAGGAAGCACCAGATAAATATGCGCCTCACAAATCTCATTCGATTTGTGTGAGGGCTGTCATACTGCCCAGGTGCCCATACCGAAGCAGGTGGTTTTCTTAGGGGGCCACACCCGGAGCCTTTGACCTAAAGGTCTGATCCACAAGGCAGTGGAGCATTGTAAGGAGATGCAGTCCCATGGTAGCCGGTGACCAACAATAGGTTCATACGCCATTCGTTCCCTCAGGATACTGGAGCCCATGTGTACCATTGGTTTGGAATCAGGGCTTTCCAACTCCCCTAGGTGGACCCTCCGTGTCCACCAACCCGGTTAAAGCGCCGGACATTCGCTTTTCGTCCTCTCAATTTCGTAAACAACACCCCCGCCACGACAAGGCAGTGAGTAGGACTTCCCTGGCAGAGGCTATATATTTGCTGGCCATGTGAGAGCATTTGGCGAGGGAGAGCGGACTCTCCCCACTCTCAGCCGTACCAGGGCATTTGGGGACAGACGAGAGTTTACTCCCTGTCCAGATATCATATGGCAATTTTTTACTGACACTCATCCTGTTGTTTATTTATTATTACTTTATGATAAAAAGTACCTGGTTATATCAGACAATATGGCGCGGCGAAACAAAACAGTAGTGTTTCAAAGAGTTAGAAATGACAAAGAATAAGTATTAGAAATCAACGTAAGAGGAAAATAATAAAAGGTACAATAAGATCAACACTGGGTTCCATTCCGTTGAAATGTCAGGCCATTGAATTGCACGATGTCTAAGTGACATCTTTTTTAAATAAATAAGGAACAACGTGAACCCTTTTTAAAGATAGGGACGACTATTGACTCATTCCATGATGTTGGAACACTTTCTTGCTCCCAAACTTTTGCAAACAACACCGTCAGTTCCTTAGCCAGAAAGTCACCACCATCTTTAAAAAGAGCCGGAGGTAAGTCATCTGGGCCAGGTGATTTGTAGCGCTTCAAGAGTTGGAGTTCCTTGCGGACTTCCGCCTCGTTTGGTGGATCAGTCGTCACCGGCCACGGGGGGCAGGACAAGCTGGTTGATGTTGCCGGAGCAGCAGGCCAGTTGAACTGCCCTTCGAAAAATTCCGCCCATCGTCCAAGACGTCGAGAGATGTTAGTGATTGGTATCCCGTCATCCTCGTAGATTGTTTCACTCTCACCAGACTTGCTGCTTGTGGCTCGGATGAGTTGTAAGAGCTTCCGGCAGTTACCAGATGCAGCTGCTGCTTCCATCTCATTAGCACGCTCCGACCACCAGGCTTCTCGGTCCTTACGCAAGCTTTGCCCGATTTCATTATGTAACAGCCTTCGTTTGTGGTCAAACTAACGGTCACCCGGAGTAGACCGACGGGCTTCGATCAGTTGTAAGGAGCCAGAAGAAACCCAGTGTTTGTAAGCGGGACGTTTCACGAAGCCACAAGCGGCTTTACTCGTCATTTCCATGGCGTCGTGAAGATGCAACCAATGCTCATCTATACTTTTCGGTGGGATGGTAGCTAGCCTAGAAGCTAGCTCCGCTCGATACTTACTTGCAACAGAAGTTGCAGCCAGTTTACTAACATCAATCCGTTGGTGGTGGTCAATCTTTCGGCCACTGAAAAGTAAGGTGAGATTGGCGCAGACCAGGGAATGTTCAGACTCCAGATAGGTACTCCAAAAGAAGCGGCAGTCTTGTACACAACCACGCCAGCGGTAGCTGATCGCGATGTGATCAATCTGAGTCCAGGCTTGAGAAGCAGAGGCAGGACGCCAGGTGGCACATCGGCGATGACTGTTCCGGAAGTTAGTGCTAGCCAGAAACAGGTTGTGGTCTGTGCTCAGTTTCAGCAGACGGTCCCCGTTATCTGTCCTGCGACCAACAAGTCCCCATCGGCCACCTAAACGACTCTCTTCTGGGCTTAGACGCCTGACCTAAGCATTCAAGTCTCCGGCTAATACTACAATATATGTCGAACGCGCTTTCTGGAGAATAACTGTTAACTGGTGGTAAAACTCATCCTTGATTGCATCCGGGCTGCAATCTGTCGGGCATAGGCGGAGATGACGAAAAGACACCGTTTCTCAGGCCGGTTTCTTCTCACTTTGATTGAACTTTCTAATCTAACAGCACATAACCGACCGTTAATGGGTATCCAATCGATTAGTGCTGCCTCAGCCCTAGCGCTTAGTGCAACACCAACGCCTGCAAGACCAGACGAAGATGCCACAGTCCCCGGATAAGCGCACGTGAAACAAGCTTTTCGAAGCGACAGATGGAGAGCGAATTTGTAGTACTTCACTAGAGTCTTGAATACGGGTCTCAGATAGACAGCAAACGTCAACATTAAGACTTTCTAAAGACATAGCCAGCCCTATCTGTTGTCCGATCTGCATTAGTGTGCGAACGTTGAAGGAAGCCAGCTTGAACGGCGTACGTGGTTTCAGAAAGACTGCTTCAGTATTCGTAATCGGTGGAAGCATTCACTTTCAACCAGACAGTGACTGGAGATCGTTTAGATAGGACAGAGATTCCACCATGGGCGAGCTACTGCATAAGTTGGAAAGGAAGGGTACACAATTTGGGAATAAAGGGAGTGAAAAAGCGACGTAGTAAAGAATAATAATAATAATCAAGGTAATAATAATAATAATGTAAATTGTCTTGCTTCTAGTATGAGCAGGAATAGTATCGTCAATAGAATTCATCATTTCATTTATTTGTGTGTGGTCTGTGATACTGCCCGGGTGCCCAAACCGAAGCAGGTGGTTTTCTTAGGGGGCCACACCCCGAGCCTTTGACCAAAAGGTCTGATCCATAAGGCAGTGGAGCATCGTGAGGAGATGCAGTCCCATGGTAGCCGTAACTCTGGTGTCTCCTCATTTGCGGATAAATCTTTCGCCTTTTACTAAAGATTTCCGTGGGGAGGCACAATACAATGAGTCTTATCTCATACCTTATATCAGCACAAAGAGAAAGGAAATTTAATAAATGGGGGATAGAACAAAGAATAACACAAAATATCATAAATAGCTAAGCCTAATATGTCCATTTATAATGTAGCAGACAAGATCAAAGGATCAAATTAAAGAACAAAAAGTGTGTGATGAAAAAGAGAACAACTATATCTAGTCCATTACAGCTGATTTTGAGTCATTTCACCCAACATCCAAGTATGATGCGTGATTTAACCTTCATGTCTTTTTCTTTTTAAAAATAGGATCATGTGAATATTTATCTCGTGCAAATACATCTATAAGAAGACTTTATTTTGTGCAGTGATATTTTATTTCATACAGATTGAAGGTTACTGATTTTATTGAGTTTAAAATTCTTCATCGAAACAACTAATGTTGTCAAAACGGCTTGGGTTAACATATTTTCTCCAGGCTGGTTCGGGAATACCCAACTGTTAAGTGTTAAGTGAATGTCGGTCAAAAGTGTTTCATTGTACATAACACTGTCTTTTGTAAAAAAATTCAACTTTACCACTTTTTTGTATGATATGCAATTAATTTGTTAACCTCACTGTAAGAAAATAAAACTCACTGAATATTGAAATGAAAATTGTTTTGTTTATCAAGATAACATCATTATATGGTATATTTTCTGTTATATAGTGTCGATGTTACTTTGTTCTGTTGGTGAATTTTTCATCAAAATTTATTAGGTTTCATTCACCATATTCCTATTGAGAAATTTAACTAGCACAGTTGGCATAATGAAACAGATTTATCTGTAACCAAACCAAAAGGTATCTTACTTGTGTAAACCAACCACTTGGGATTGCAACTCGACGGTTTTATGTTATTGGATTAGTGCGTGAATTCTGGCGAATCTACGCAATCGCTAGAGACTTTTCTGGAGATCGATGTATAGCGATTTTAACACGAACTTGTCATAGAAAGCTGTACTATCTTACATATATTTCCCCCCAGTAACTAGCTTTTTTACATTGTTTACCGCTGACAATGAAAAGACATATCTCATGAGTCGCATGTAAATAACTTGCCGTTGATTCATTAGTACTTGTCTCATCTGTAATAGATCCGAAACTTGTTATCATGAATATCCATCAAATCCCATTAAAAACCCCGCAAATGTTTGTACTAGGCCTTGGTACAGCTGAGAGTAGGACGAATTCGCTCTCCTCGAAATGCCCTCACTTGACCACGCGTATACAGCCACTGTCAGGGAAGTCCTTCTCGCGACGGGTTGTTCTTTACGAAGTTGAGAGGACGAGAAGCGAATATCCGGCGCTTTAACGGGGTTAGTGGATATGGAGGGTCCACCTAGAGAAGTTGAAAAACCCTGATCCCAAACCAATGATGCACATGGGCTCCAGGATCCCGAGGGAACAAATGGCATATGATCCTATTGTTGGTCATCAGCTACCATAGAACTGCATCTCCTAACATTGTTCCGCTGCCTTGTGGATTAGAAGTTTAGGTCAAAGGCTCCGAGTGTGACCCCTCTAGAAAACCACGCTTCGGTTTGGGCACCCGGGCAGTATCACAACCCTCACACAAATCAATGGTAACTACTACTGGCCTCATTGTTATTTTGTGGTGCATATGTACTTAGTGCCCCCCCCTGTACCAATGTTTATGTGTACGAATAAATAAATAATAGTATATATGGAATTCTAACAGAAGAACATTCTTAGTTCTTACTACATATGTTGTAACCAGAGCACCATGAAATGAGTGTTCCATGCACCACACCATCTACATCAAGTGCGAGTCAAGGATTTCGAGTTATAAAAATAAACTAGAGGAAACAGCGGAGAAGTACCGAATTATTTCGTTTCCTGCACTTAGCAAAACTGAACGTGCTCATTTATAGTCATTGATCATTATCTTTGTAGTGTTTTGATTTTTTTTACCAAAAGTATTCTAAATCCCAGTGTAATTACTCAAATACATAGGAGCTTATGTTGTGATACTATCATAATCGTTAACTTCGAGTGGTATTCTGTTTGGTGAGGACACTGAGATACATGCTTTCCATACGTTTTTATTTAATTGCAAAATTTTGCTTCAGAACTAATGTACATGTAGAACGCTAGAAGTGGCTAAATTAAAATGTGTTAGCAGTCCATAAAATCGTTGATCTAAAGCATATCAGTAATTTCAAACCACCCAGTGTTAGGATCTGCATAATAATAGTTTTCAGTGGTTGATACGTCGACTAACGTAGTTGAGGATCGGTCACAATATTACAGATTTCGAATCCCGATATCTCTCCGAACATACCTTCCCATTCTGCTTTAAACCATATTCCCTAAATGTAGTCTTTCCTTTTTTTCGTTACTACTACGTTGTTTCAGTCTCTTGTTATTTTCATATTGTTGTGCTGACCTAATTTGGCAAACGCGACAAAATTACATTTTCCTCTAGATCTTGAGTCCCAGCATTCACTCACGTAACTTTTCACTCCTCGAATTATATTCTCGATGTTTGGTCTTTTTCATTTTGATTTTTAGTATAATTATTTCAGCACCTTTGATATTCATGCGGTTAATTTCACCTCGTTGTTCTGATATGGTGTGGAGTCCTAGGCTTCGGGCGACAAAGCTTAAAATTTTCAGCAGTGAAACAGATCCATTCGCTATTTGTCTTCCCTCTGGTCCTAAGCTTGTTGAATTTGTATATTTTTCACCATTGCTCGAATAAAATTTATCCCTAATCTTTTCTACGACTACTACTTATACTGTGTCGTTTTGTTGTAATGAAATGTATGGTAACTTAGACTGGTGCACATATGTCCGATGCACTATCTTGTGTATGATTGATCGCATACTTGTACCTGGCTGTTTGTTGATTATAACTGATATGGATTGTTATTGATAACATCATAGGCAGTTTTGATCTCAGTCTTCTGAACAAATTTTTGGCATAACTCGTGCTACTTTATTTTAGTTAGTAGTATGAGTTAGATAGAAAATTGTGGTTTGTTTTTGACGCATTGATGTTCATGACAAAAATTATAATGTAAAATTTTTTGGTCAAGTTGCTTTGGCTTTCACTGTCCGATGATTGCTTTTGATAATCGTAGTAATTAACCCTTTCTATCAGTTTTCTACGGTTGTTAAGATTATTGCTTTTAATCCTCTGCTTATCTCGTTAACTTTCCTTTAGTGTAATGTATCTGAAGTGTGATAATATGTATCAGATCGTACGTTACTGATTTTAAGACTTTTGTCAGTAAACGATTACATGCAAATTAATAATGTAAAAAATCCTTTGCAATAAAAAGCTAAGGTTTAAATATATCGTTTCGCTATCCTTTTGTTTATTCAAAAGGAGAAACTAGAAATCGTATGCCGATTGTGTGTCAATAGTTGTGCTCTCAATATCGTATATTGTAGAAGGTTTTTTGTTTTAATGATGAAATTTCTCGAATACGATTCCGTATTTAGTATTATGCGATACAAGTGAAACTTTAGTTACTTGATTTGAATTTTGTTATTGAGAGAGCAAGCATTTATATACGGATCATGTTTACCGGGATCATGTAATATGATTTAAACTTGTAAGTCAATTATGTTTTTCCCAAGTTAATTTATGCCAGTATAGGAGAATATTTTTTTGAACTGCCAAATTAGTAATTTTTTTTGCTTCTACAGTAAATTACTTGACGAATTACTATTTTCTTCACAAAAGTTTTGAATATATTTAGTAGATTTCAGTAAAAAATCTTGATATCTTTTGTACAAAAATAGTTTTCTGTAATATTTGACCTTATTATATCCAAATGTAACCAGCTGATGATGACTGGCGATATTTTTTCATTTTTCAACTTTACCGATAAAATATTCAACCGCTTTCATTGACTAGTGTTTAATCAGGACACAAATGATTTTTTGGTGTGCTGAGAAATGGTTATCTTGAGACATTCTAGATAAAGCAGATATAGATAAGTGATTTACACTTAACTTCCAAAATTGCATTTAATAACTTGCAGCAGAAGAGTGGTTACAGTTATTAAAATCTATTATGGTATGAAGACTTTACGTGTTGTTAAAGTTTCTGTCTACTTATCATCCTTTTGAAATAGTGACTTATGTATACTTAATTCGAAATTTCTGAAATGATTTCAAGTTCAGAGTTGGTAAAAATGGTTTTTGGCCTTATCATAAGCATGTTCCTAGAAATTTGACATTTCAATCATTCCAGCTTTTAAAGAAGTATATACAATTTCATCCACAAAGTCTTATAATGTATACACGTTAAAGTCTATAGATTCGAACCTAGAAGCTTCAGTATTAAGGGATAAAACATTGGTAATGTTTTAATCTTGCAACTATTAACCTAGAAAAACTACTGTTTACTAATAAAAATGAAACATAATGTCAACATTAAAAAGAACCTCGGTTCTATGAGATATAGTAATAGTCGAATAAACTTATGTTGGGTACCATGTTAGCCACTCATGAATGAGCGCTGGCTAACATATATAGTATGGAATCATGAATCTATAATTTCCACATTATATATGTTACATTAAATCAATTAATTTATTCGACATTCACTAGCTCTCATTACTTCATTTTTCATTCAACCATTTTTGAATTATCATTATCGGGTCCTTTCCTTGTCACTTCAAAGATCAGGACTTTACTTTAATGCGCCATGTTAGATAATTCAAGTATTTCCTACTTATTTTGTATATATCCTTACTTCAAGTCTTGGTCACTTCAAACGAAAAACAGTAAAAAAAAGTAATAAGATAAACTTAATAATCTTGAGGTAAGAAAACTTATTAATCATTGAATACTCTTAGGTGAAGGGAAGATAAAGAGTGTATATCTTCCCTTAAACTTTGAGATTAAAATTGCTTCATATCTGTCTTCCTATATTATATCCTTATATAAAACCTTTCTTTTATATATTAACACCACTAAATTAACTACTTTTATGAATTCGATGTTCATCTTGTTGTGCTAACGAGGTATGGGAACTTGGACCGATGCATATGTGTGCCTGATCCTACGTTGTAGCTGACTGACTTAGGTGAACAACGGTTCAATCAGTTTATTCATAATATATTATACAAAAATTAGGACAAAAACAAACTGGGATAATCATTTACATGACAAAAGTAATGAATAATCTGACATTCATTCCCATTTCATGAATGTTGATGATAAATACAAATTAATTAGATTAATTAAGATTTACTTTTTGTCAATGAAGTTTTATTTTCGTATCATTGTGTATATGTGTGTGTGTGATTATTCAATTTAACCCATCATAT